GTACAAGAGTTAAGTGTTTCACTGCTAACAGCAAGGTCTGTGGCTCAAACCCACCCACCCTCTCGGGGAGGAAGAGCTGGTGATTTGCTCCCATGAATGTCATAGCTGGCAGTTCCACTCTGTCATATGGATTCACCATGAGTCACTCAACAGACCTTATCAACAGCATAATTCACTGACAAGTACAGCGAAGTCTTAGTCATAGTAAAGGGCTACATAGCAAGGATTATTATGGATATTTTAATGATGGAAGCTTTTGCCAGTTCCTAGGGGACCTGCGTAACCGAGCTACTACCTAACTAAATAATATCTATTTTCATGAGTGGTTGATAATCCACACTCATTCTTACATGGTACGCATAACCCCTAACTTCATTTTATAAAGCCCACAAGCCGATTTTGGACTACTTTCCTTTCTTTGTGGAGATTGGTAAAACAGTGGAAATATGATACATTTACTCCAGCCTGAGAGGGTCAGAGAGCTATAACCCAAGGCCAGATGAAAGGGATCCAAATAATGCTTGACCACCGAAGAAGGAGACCTATGTCCATTCCCGCAACAGGGAGAGTCTATGGCTTCTTGCTTTGTTTTCCTAGGGCCTGCCAAATATTTCTGCAAAGTACTTAACTTCTTCTATCCCTTTCCTTGAATGTTTTGCTAATGTTTTTGCTAAGGACACCAGCCATTCAGTCTCTCCTTGCCCCACAATTGGCAGCTTGTCTTCAATTTGTCTCACTCCTTTTGTCTGCTGCCTGAACTCTGAACCCGTGCATTCACTCACCATGACAAGAGACACACGCAGAGTCTCCCAGACTCCTTTAAAACAAAGATGCCTGGTATTTAGGACTTCCAAGTCCTGCATATTCATGGTGCACAAAACCCAAGGTTTAGCAGGAAACAGAAGCTGAATCATTCCACATTCCCTTTTATTTTTCCTGGCTAAAGGTGGTCCCCAAACTGGCAACTTGCTTATGAGCATAGCACACATTTTGCACCTGGAAGAGAACACAGCCCAGATGGGTGCTTATCCTGTCTAGATTTTTTATAGAATGGCCAGGTGCAAGAGACTCATCGTGCTGTGGGTCTTAGCTTGTCAAGAAACCTGTCACGCAGCAACGGACAAGTGTCAGCTTGTTATTTCTCTAGCTGCTTGCCCTGAAACATTTCATTGAACCATATGAAAGTATGGTTTTTGTAGGTCAAGAAAGATCAAATATTGACAATTTAATATTTGACATTAATCATAATAAAAAGGAACAGAACTACTATTTATGAAGTGCCTTCTAGGTTCAGATCCTACATGGGGACTCTATGCTACCTATTTTAATTTCTGTTGGTGGCATCACATTAAGGTGCCAGTATTATCCCCATTTTACAGATCAGACAGTGGAGGTTCCAGGAGGGTAATCAACTGCTCATAGTTCGTAAGGACAGGAATGCTTGCTTGTTTGATTCTAAGGCCTGAGTACTTTTCACTCCACCATGTATAGATTTTGCTTTACAGAATCACTCTCCTTGTAGTCCAATTCCTAGGTCACCTCTTAACACCATTCTCATATATGGTGGCCACTGCCTATGTCATATTCTCTTCCTGAAATCAACTGCCCAATCTCTATAGACGCATCTGCAGAAATTCAAGTGATCCTTTGAGGCCCTTTCTGAATGTTTCATGGTTCATGAAGTTGTCAGAGTCCCTCCCAAAGATGTGATCATTTCTTCCACCAAGCCTCCCAGCCCTGAAGATGCTGGCATTAGTCCTTATCACTTTTAATACTACTTGTTATTGGACTATTGGGCACATTTATTCTGTAAAGGATCCAAACCCCAAAAACAAATCCACTGCCTCTGAGTCAATTTCAACTCAAAGCAGCCCCGTTGGACAGAGTAAAACTACCCACTAAGGCTTCCTAAGTTGTAAATCTTTACGGAAGCAGACTGCTACATCTTTCTCCCATGGAGAAGCTAGTGGGTTTGAACCACCAACATTTCAGTTAGCAGCAGAGTGTTTTAACTACTGCACTACTTGGGCTCCTTGTTAAAAAAACAAAACAAAACACCAAAAAATAAAAACGTATTTTAGACTCTGCAATGGCTATCAGCTCTGCCATTATAGTACAAAACTCAAAAGTACATGTGGGGGGGGGGCATGACTGTGTTTCAATAAAACTTCATTACAAAAACTTTTGGTAAGTAGGGTTAGGACTGGGGGACCTAGTTTGCTGACCCCTTTCCCAGCTTACTGACTACTAAATGTTGGTAACTGTGTCTTTCTCAGGCTCCCACCCCTTCTGTGCTATCTATTTTCAAAGGCAGTCATTATAAATATTCGTGGCATTAAATTGTCAGTTGCTGGCATCAGAGATACTTTTTAAAAACTACTGCCGAGGCCCTGAGAACTCTGTAGACCCTTGTTTCCCTGTGACTGCTGTCTGCACATGCCACTGTTTTGTCAGAACCTCTTGACCTGTGGCTATTTCCCTGTAGGCTCAGGACCCTTTGCTTCGAAGCTTCGAAGCTTCAAAGGCAGGTGGACTTCTAAGGAGCCATAAAACAGCAAAACTTGTCAACCCCTTCTCCTTCAACTTGGGGAAACACCTGTAAAAGTTGATAGCTGTAGAAAGTCACCTAAGGTGTGCAACAAAGGAAGCTTACACAAAGCAATTTCTAATTCCAAAGAAAAGGGAAAAGTGGGCTGCAGTCAGTAAATTTGTCATGCCATCTGTAATGAAGAGTCACTCAAGGTCTTCGTTCGTGAAGTAAATATGATCCTATGTGGTTACAAATCGGGCTGAGAACCGCAAGGTCAGCAGTTCGAAACTACTAGTTGTTCCAATGGAGAAAGATGAGGCTTTCTGCTCCCGTAAAGATTTATATCCTCAGAAACCCTGTACAGGGTCACTATGAGTCGGAACTGACTTCACAGCACATCACAACAACATGTAAGCTAAGAGCTGTCAACCCCATGGGTGGATTTCCAGTAACAATGGCTCAAGCACACACTATTCTCCAGGTGCTAGAGCAACCCTCTTTCTTTTAGAGAATATTTGCTGTATTTGATGCTAGCCTCCATCCTCCAAGCATCTGAGCACACTCAGTAAGTTGTTTATCCAGCCTGGCTGCTGAATCAGTTTTATCTTGTCCTAGGTGAGCTCTGACCTCCTTCATCCTAACCTAAATCATTTGATAAGATTGTTGTTGTTGTTCTTAAGTACTGTCGAGTCAGTTCCGACCCATAGCCACCCTGCATAGGGTTTCCGAGGCGCGGCTGATGAGTTTGAACAGCCGACCTTACAGTTCAAACCAACCTTGTGGTCCACTGCTTATGCTGCAGCGCTACACTAGGACTCCATCTGATAAGATAGAGATGTTTTATATATTACCGATCATGAGTGAACAATGAGAAGATCGCCAGAGATCTGTAATGACCAGCAATTAGCTTGACTTCAGTTGTATTAACTATGTTTTTAAGGTTCTGTCTAGTCTGGGATCTTGATTAGAAAATCGATGTGGCTGAAAGTGAGTTGTATTAAAGCACAAATAGATTCATAACTGATTCTAGAGGTTTCATGATGAAAGCAACAGATGCTCAATTAGTTGCCAATCCCTGACTCTCCAGTAGCTGAGCTCTCAGCAGACACTGAACCAAATGCTCTGCAGAGAAGACTACATATTGATGCCAACTGTTAGGGGAAAAAAAAAACTTACGACAGAGAAGAAACAAAATCATGCTCTTTGCTGCCAGAGCACCCAGACATCCCCCCCAACCCCTGTTTTCTAGTGAGAATTACTGGTATAACACGACACTGCTTGCTGTTACACCCCTTTACACCATCAGTCTCTCCCCTGAGTCTCCTCACCTTAACTCTCTAACAATCCTGCCTCTAAAAAACTAACACGAGGGAGCTTCAAAGGGTTCATGGGAAAATCCCATTATTTTTCAATTCCACTTTTCCACAATCTTTTTGAAGTGCCCTCATATAAGATTATTTTAAAGCCATGCCCTGAGGGGTCGTTTGGGTTCCCCCCTACCCCCCAAATATGTGTCGTGCTCATGATTCTCAGTAATTTGGAAGTTATAAAATGATTCAATTTGGCAGATATGTAACGATGGGATCTGATGTGATCATCCAATCAGTTGTAAGGGGATTAGGGTGGAATGCAATACCCTTATTTGGGTCTGAACCCTGATCTGATCTAAGAGGAGTTTCTTTGGCGTGTGGTCTGTACATTTATATTTATGTTACAAGAAATAAGAGGAGATTAAAAGGAGTGAGAAGTGAGCAGAGAAAGAAAGATCTGACTACCATCTAGAAAGAAGAGCTGGGAGTGGAACATATCCATTGGACTCAGGGAAAGATTGATGCAGGACACGTGGAGGTCTCCAAGGGACACGGAGCCCACAGATGCTGAGAGGAGACAAGGACCTTCCCCTAAAGCCGACATAGAGAGAAAGCCTTCCCTTACTTAGAGCAATGCTCTGAATTTGAACTCTCAGCCTTCTAAACGGTAAAAGAATACATTTCTGTATGTGAAAGCCGTATCTGCTTGTGGTATTTCTGTTATAACAGCACTAGACAACCAAGATGCCCACTCCAGTTGCAATCCTGCTGGCACATCTGCACCAAAGCTGCTGCAGTAATCCTTTAAAAATAGACCCATGTTTCTACAACCAGACCAGGTGATGCAACTCTGCTGCTGTGAAAAGGAGACCATTTGATCATCAACACTAAATAATAATCATTACTATTATCTAAGACAAGCGAAGAAAAATAAAAATTACGGCCCCCCCATTCACCCTCTATACTTCTTTCCTTTTTATTTTGCTACTTAAATATGTTGGAACTGTCATTCATCATCAAACCACCTGACAAGGCCCTTTATTTCTGCCCTAGTAATTCTGCCTGTGGATAGGCAATGCGGAAGGAAAAGGGGAAGACTGGGAGGGAACAAACGAAAAGTCCACGTTCAATATAGGCTGAGGGTTGATGTTATTACTCACATGTGTTGCGAAGCATTAGGGTACAGTTTTGAAAATTGTGGGGCTGAGTCCTCTGGGCCGTGGGGTGCAGCATGGCTGATCACCATCATAATGGGCCTATGGGGATACATTCTCTTAGACATTTTGAAGTAATTAATGCTCTCGTTAGTGATTAAGTCTGTGAAGTAGTCCTGAAACATACATTTGACACAAAACAAAAATTACAAAAGGTGACATTCATCATATCACATTTGAAAATTGTTTTCCTCAGAAGCAACTCACTGTATGAAGAGTTAAGCCCTAAGGGAGGGAGGAAAACTGTACCTCCCAAGGCAGCAAAAGATCTTCAACATAGAAAACCAGGTGATGATTACTTTCTACAGTTGCTAACTTGTCAACATGCAACAACAACAAAAATCATTTAGGAATGCAACAATTTAGCAATTAGAAAAGAAAATCGGCAAATCATAACCATGTGTAGCAATACAACATGCTGGCGCTCATGAAACACTTGGTAGTAGGACATTTTTCATTCTCAGAATTCGCTGATGTTAATTCATTGTCAAAAATTTTAATTACTTCAAGGGCAGTCAACATCCACACCCACAAAAGGTTCACAGTTGTAGAATACACACACTTAGGCATGCACAAACAAAAGAAAAGAGATCCCTACTTCAATTTGAAAATTCACCTGTGGGAATTACATAGTAATCACTAATCAAAGGCACTGCCCAAGTCCGGCTACATTAGGGAAAAGCTGCAATATTTTATCAATTAATGGACTTTGAAAGACTAAGTATGGGGAACAGTTGATTTCCTGCAGATTAGACTCTGTTAATTGCACAGCTAAAGTGATACAGCTGCTGAGATTCAAGCCTGGCTTGTTAATAAAATGACTTAATCTGCAGGAGTGGGGTGGGGAGGGCTGATGGAAGTCTATAAAGGGAAGGGAAGAAAAGGAAGGAAAGGAAAGATAAAAACTTAAATTAAACCACCTGTTCCTCTAAGTGGCTATCATTGGCCTGGTACTCCAGTACAAACTTCACACAGAAAGTGCCCAGGCAATGCTCACAATTTCAAGGGATTCCGGGCATGACTAATCACATGTGGATTTAAGGGCTTGAACAGCTGCAAAAGCAGTGCCCAAGGGATAAAATCTGAGTCACAAGTCATTGTTAGGACAAGCCCAAAGGCTATGGAGGGTGTCTGTTTCATTCTTTTCCTCACTAAAAAAAGAAAAAAAGAGATATGTATATGTTTTTTTGGACACAGTAGTCTCTGACACTTAATCAGCTGTGATAATGGGAAAGTTATGCCGCTTTAGCATTTGGAGGGAATTGTGATTATCTTGCCCTCTTTAGGACAAGAGGGAAAGAAAGGTTAATAGCTTGAGCAAGGGGCATGAAAAGTCTCCCCAGGGATAAAATCAGAAGCAGTGGCAATTAATGTATGCTGTCTGGATCATCTGCATGTAACGACTGTATCAACAATGGGGGATACAGTGGTGGTCTGGGGTGGAGCGGTGAAATTCTCTAGGTTTCACATCCCCCATCTTTTAAAATGAGGACATTGCTCAAGTTGGCCTCCAAGGTCCCCGCCAGCTCTCAACATTGATGAGCCTGTTAACCTATTAACAACGAATGTGAATTCATTTGCATTCATAGTTTTCTGAGGGTAGGAACTTGCATCTCATCTCCCACTAAGTCTCTTGCATTCAAATCAGGCTAAGCAAAAAAACATAAATCTGTTTCCCTCTCTGCATCTCCTACCTATTACTTTTGTTCAGCAAGTCACAGTCTTTTCAGGAGGGTGTGTTAGATAGAGCAGGTGCCTGACTTCTTTCAGATAATTAAAGAAGAGATGGGTATGGCTAGAAGAGAAGGGAATCTTTTTTGGGGGATAAATCAGTAGCGTCAATTTAAAGATATTCTCCCTTTTAATTTTATAATCTAAAAACTCCATTTTCACTTAAATTGGCAATCCCAAAACCTTTGTGATTAGATCTACTCTAGGATTCAGTTGCTAGAGTTCAAATATCATAGATAATGTCTGGACATGTTGATCTGAGTTTCTGTAAAATGATCTGGAAACTCAAGGATTGCCAGTCCTACAGACATCTGTGGACACTCTGACACTGGGCAAGTGTTCTAGTACATGAACTAGGCTTGGTCAGACAAGAGTGAAAACAAGGAATATCCCAAACTGATTGCTGCACTTTGGTTTTATTTTTACATCTAAATCTGAAGTCACAAACGAACTATCCTTTCACCTCCAATGAAAAATAAAACAGTATAATTATATTTGCTTATGTGGACAAGTCCTCCTGAGGAGGACATTTTCCTCCCCTCTCAAATTATAACAAGAGAGATCCGAGGCATCATCCATGATTTTCTTGACGAGACTTTCATCCGAAACTGATTGCCTTTCATCTTAATGAGTAAAAAACTCACTGTACAAAAGCAGTGTTCATTGAGAGTCCTTTCCTTGCCTGGAGTTTAAAATTATCTTAAAAGTCTTCATTCTAATAATGTGAGAACACAGAAAGCCAATCTGAGGACAGGGCAGCTCACTGAAAATGGCCTTCCCCCATTAAGCATAAAGAAAATGGATGCAGTACAAAAGTGCTGAAAATTACCTTTGCATAATCAAATCCATGCTTTTCTTTGATGCCATTGCGACAAACAGTGTAATTATAGAAACGAGAATTCTTTATTAATCCAAGCCACTCTCGCCACCCAGGAGGAATATAGCTGCCATTATATTCATTGAGGTATTTTCCAAAAAAGGCTGCAAGGGGGGAGGGGAAAGATTATTTTCTCACATGAAGTAATTCATCATAAATGTATAAATATCTTGATATGATATTATGACTTGAAAAAGAGTAAGTTAACCTAGGTAACACTACAGATGCTAATAACACTAGTGTAATATGTTGAGTACTTGACAAAGTGACAGACATACATTTTCTTATGAAAAAATAAAAGTAGAGCCCAAATAGATGGCTTACGGCTCAATAAAATCCCCAAATGACCACAGTGACCTGGATGCATCTCTTACTTGTGGTCCCACTGAAATAAAAGCAAAATGTACCCTTTTGTTAGGTTGATGTAGCTGTTGTTGTTAAGTGACACTGAGTCAGCTCTGACTCATAATGACCCTGTATAAGGTTTCTGAGGCATAACTGGTGGGTTTGAACCCCTGACCTTGTGGTTCAAACCAACCTTGCAGTCTAGTGCTTAACCTACAGCGCCATACCAGAATTTATAGTTGTCTATAATAAGTTTTTTAACTTACTCAATGTTTGAGATTTGTGAATTATAAATATATTACTGAAAAACTTGTCTTTGTTTTTGCGTATCTAAAAAGTGTCAATTTCCCAAACCAAGTAACCATGGTAAACTCCATATTTTATGTGACAAGTTCAGGGTTTTTTTGTCACATGTATTTGGTGGCATGAGTGTTTGTCCTGTGTGTTTTATTGCTAAATATGTATCTATTATTGATGATAAAAATTCTGGCAATATGGTGTTATTATATAGATTACAGGGAGTCCCTGGGAGGTACAAACAGATAAAGTCCTTGGCTGCTAACTGAGAAAGTTGGACGTTCAAGTTCACCTAGAGGTGCTTTAGAAGAAAGGCTTGGCCACCTAGTTCTAAAAACTCAGCCATTGAAAACCCTATGGAGTATAGTTTGACATATATATAGGGTTGCTATCAGTCAAAGTGGTTTGGGCACAGAGATAGTTCCTGGAAGACTGGCTTGGGAAGTAGTAGCTGATGATGAAAACAAATTCTAGAATCAAGGCATTTTATTGGTATTGCACTTTGCTTATCCAATGTACTTTATCTCTGGGTTTTTATGGGACAGGTAGTTAACTCCTTTTCATGCTTCATATACAGCTGTGTGAATATATTACTTATTCCTTAACTCAAATGTCCAAATTCAGAAAGAAGCATCTCCCTCCCCCAATTTAAATCTCTTCTCAGATGTCCTTTTAGTGCCTTAATGGCATAACCATCCAGGCTTGGCAACCTGGAGTCTACTCAGAGTCCATCCATTCCTGTACATTTCTTGATCTGCAAGTGTTCTCCCATCTATCCCTCATGGAGTCCCGACAGTCTCATGCCCAGCGTTTCTAGCCCAGGTTGAAGGCCCTTTCCACCATCACAGTTACAATGAACATTCTTAGAGCCCAACTCAGCTCACATGACACATGGTCAAATTTCAGATTGATCCTTACTGCCTTCAGAACCAAGTTTTACTCACTAGAGCTTGCTTTTCATCCAGGCCTACCTGGGGTCTGGACCAAATCCTTCTCTTTCAAGCCCTATCCCACATTGCTTTGTTAATCATTCCTCTTTCCAGCTAACTTTTGCTCTGTGAATTTCCACCTTGACCTTTTCTATTCTACTCCTTGTATTTCCCTCTCCTAGTAGTAAGGCCAGAGTGGTGCCATTTCACACACAATCTTTGGCTGGCGTGCCATTTCACACAAAACTTTGGCTGGCTTGCCTACAATCCTCAAGCCCACAGCACTTCATCTCTATGGCTCTATTGCCATCTTCACCTTTTCACTTGTGGCAGAAAACAAGGTGTTGTTACGTCGATTCTGACTCATGATGAACCCAGGGCTTTCAAAGTTAGACTTGTGCTCTAATCTGGGTTTTCAATGGCCTTTCTTCTGAAGTGCCTCCCTCCAGGTAGACTTGAACCACAAACAATTTGGTTAACAGCCAAGCATGTTAATTGTATGCACCAACTAGGGGCATTTATAAGACTGTAAGAAAAAAACACTGCCTTTGCCTTTTCTTTGTATCCTCCCCACATCTTTGCATATAATTGTTGCTAATTGCCAACCTGTAGACTCAGACTTGGAGGCCAGGATGGCCAAACTTCCTCTCTCATACTTTGGACATATTGGCAGGAGGGACCAGTCGCATATTTGGTAAGGTGCAGGGTCAGAGAAAAAGGGGAAGGCCCCCAACAAGATGGGTTGGCTAAGTGGCAGCATCGATGAACTCAAGTGTGGCAACTGTGGTGAGGTTGGTCCAGGATCAGACAGTGTTTTGTTCTGTTGTGCATAAGGTTGCTAAGAGTTGGTACCAACTCAATGGCACCTAACAACAACAAGACTCAGACTTACAACAACACTATAAAGAGTTCCTGAGGAGTAGCTGGTGGGGCTGAACGCCTACCTTGCGTATACAAGCCCAATGCTATCATGCAATGCCACACCAGGACTCCTTACATATAAAGCTGTTAAGTGCTGTTGAGTTGGTTTCGACTCATAGCGACCCTGTGAAGGGTTTCCAAGGGGTGGCTAGTGCATTAATCTGCACATTTCATTTTATTTATTTCTAGAACTGTGGTTCATGAGCCCAATGTATTTTGGGATTCTTCAAGTTTTCAGTTTTGCATTTTCATTTGAATCTAACTTTTTATTAGGTTCTCCTAAATACTTCCATAGAATAACCCAATGCCATCGAGTTGATTCCCACTCATAGCAACCACTAGGACAGAGTAGAACTGCCTTGCCTCTGAGGGTTTCTGAGACTGTAGATCTTTACAGGAGCAAGCAGCCTCATCCTTCTCCTGCATAGTGACTGGGAGGTTTAAATCACCAACCTTGAGGTCCATGCCAAGTCATTCCTGCCCTTCCCTCATTTTATTATTTAGACTATTTTGCAGTGTTTTCTATCTATTGCCATGGCTACTGTCCTTTGCCTTAACTCTCCCCTTTTTCAAATGATTCCTTCAAGTCTCTTAATAGTCCCTTCCTTCAGGAGACCCTCCAGGTTTTCAGTATCTTTTTACTAATGGAGAGGAGAGTACAAGATGTACTCAGTATTCCAGATGTGCTTTCAAACAAGCTGTTCCAAGGGTGGCCACTACCCACTGAGAGTGTCACGACACAACTCCCTGCTCCCTGCCTCCAGTTACTCTGGCCTTTGCTGCTGCCTTGCGACACTGAGACTTACTTGTAATCACCCCTGGCCCCTTTCAGTGTTTCCTGCCAGTGCTCTGCAATTGATGCTCTGGGCTTCTAATGATTTTCCTCCCAATATATAAAAAACCCCTTTCTATCTCCCTAAAGTGAATTTCATTTTCTGTTTCCTATTGTCAGTATGTCTATGTAGAGGGGGCTACAAAGAGTTCATGGAAAAAATGACATGAAAGATAATGAACTTTTGTCTATGAACTTTTTGAAGCCCCCTTGAATAGTTTCTGAATAGCTTGAAGTTTTTCTATCCTTTAGTACTGGCAATTCAACACATCTGAGTACATCATAAGTACAATCATTTATCTGTCCTCCTATATCTTTCCTCTGGGACACTGTTAAATATTTTCCTTTATAGCTGTTTAAGAAATGTGGGAACAGGGGGGTGAGTTGGGAGACAGGGAGAAAGAGCAGAAAGTCCTGATTATAATTTTTCTTGACTTGCTACTCTACCCAGGACTATTTGCTACATAATACTTAGAAATATTTCCTTGAACTATCTGAATCAAAGGCATCTATTTGTAAATCAGCAATAATAACTGTATAACAGATTTCTGATGTTATAGAGAAGTCAAATCATATTTGGTGGTGGTGGTTATGTGCCGTGGAGTCAGTTCGGACTCATAGCGACCCTGTACAGGGTTTCCGAGGCTGTAAATCTGTATGGGAGCAGAAAACCTCATCTATCTCCCACGGAACAGCTGGTATATTCGAACTGCTGACCTTGTAGTTTGCAGTTTGATTTGTAACCACTATGCTACCAGAGCGCCTTCAAATCATATTTAGTAGAAGTAAATTAAATGTTATTTAATTTAATGCAACAGATGATATATTAGTCAAACTTTCATTCCATGTAATTAATAGATTTAGGGTGACAGGATTTCACTGGTGGTACCTATAAATATGGAGTCCTGGTGTGGTGCTGTGGGTTAATGCGCTGGACTGCAAAGTCAGTTTGATCTGCAAGATTAGCAGTTCAAGCTCACCAGCCGCTCCTCAGAAATCCTCTACAGGGTTGCTATGGGTTGGAACCGACTGGATGGCACTTGACAACAATAACATCTATAAATATATATAATTTCCAGTCCTATTAAAATTATGCTTTTTCCTTATGTCAACTTTCATATATGAGGCTGGTTTCCCCAACTAGGCCGTAAGTCTAGTAAACTTAAGGATCATACTTTTATTGTTTCATATCCTAATATTTAGGTTAGTTCCAAGCATACTATGCTTCAATAAATGTATGTCATGCCTCATGTTTAAATACTTATCAAAGGTCTATAATGCCATAATTCATAAAAAAAACAAGAACATTAGTTTGTCTGACTCTACAAGTAAAAAAATTCAATATTGGGAAATAAATACATATGAGTTTCTATAAGTAACAAAATGAAGTGTTGTAATATAAAAACCAATGACCCACTGCCATCGAGTCAGTTACGCTCAGAGTTAAAGAACAGAACTGCTCCAGAGGGTGTCCAAGGCTATAAATCTTTGCAGAAGCAGACTGACCATCTCCCCTTTCTTCTGTGGAGTGGCTGGTAGGTTCAAACCACTGATCTTTCAGTTAGCAGGCCAATGCTTAACCTACTGTGCCACCAGGACCCCTTTCGTAACATAAAAGGGCATGAAATTAGAAAATGGATCTATTTGTTTATATGTAATTTTATACAAGAATCCTTTGCAAAAAAGACTTACTGCAGATCTCTGTTAAATCTGTCTCCTTCTACTCCAGCAATATGCTGTAGAATGAGCCTGTCTAAAATTTAATTCGCATGTGGCTTGG